TTAATTGTTAATACCTCTATTATATTTTGACTCTATATTTTCTATTTGGGTCGAATGTAAATAGTAATTTCTTTTAATAATTGTTCCAAATAGTTTATTTAATAATTTCAGGTAATCAAACAATTGATGCTTTTTAAAATCATTAGTAACATCATTAAGAACCAAAACCAAATAATTAAATAATGGAAAAAATTCTGAAATAGTTTTAAATTTCTTTACTTGAAAAGCATATTTTTTCGGTAAAATGTATTCGCAGTGCGTTTAAGATTGTCTAAAAGAATATTTAATTAGCTTGTCATATAGCTATGACGTATAATTTCAATGTTATGTAAGCAACTAAAGCTTCTGATTTGCATGAAAATGAGTTACAATTATAATATTACATACACGATTTAGTATATTAGAATTATGTGTACTATCAATTTTAAAATGAGATAAAAATCACTTTTCTTTTATCTAAAAAAAATACTTTCCAATTCCTTGAGAAAAATGAATATTTAAATTCAAATAACCAGACTATTAGGAATTCTTTCCGGTACATTGAATTCAGTTTATATATATATATATATAAAAATAAGAAGAAATTTCTTTTTTTTTCAAGTACTACTACTGTACAATGATGACGAATGTGAAACATGCTAGCGCGACCTCTTCAGCACCTGGAATGTCGCTCGATGAATTCGGATTGGTTGCCAGACCAGATTCGATTGCTGCTTTTACAACAACGTCCAACAGGCTCAGGATGTAGTAACTCAAGTATTATTTGTGGAATCAAGAGTGTAAAAAGAAAACAACAAAAAAAATAAAATAAAAGACTCGCTCAGCCAGACGAATAAGGGCGAGACGCTCGCTCGACCAATAAGGCTAAATTATTCGATCCAATTTAAAATAAAATACAGGGGAATACATCAACTTATATACAAGAATGCTATACGAGCTTAAAAAAGGGGGGACCAACTGTTAAAATTGTTTAAAAATTCAAAATTTTTTTCTCACATTTTCATAAAATCTTTGTTAAAACATTAAGCGAACCAGAATTTTGGTTAAATTTTCTAGAATTCTACTCGAAATAACCAGAATCCTGGTTAATATAATCAGAAAAATAATGTTAAATATCCTAACCAAAATTCTAGTTATTTCTACTACAATTCTAGTAAATTTAACAAAAATTCTGCTTGATCTAATTAAATTCTAGTCGAAATAACCAGAATTCTGATTAATCTAATTAAATTCTAGTCGAAATAACCAGAATTCTGGTTAATATTATAAGAAATCTAGTAAATTTAACCAGAATTATTATGTTAAATACCTTAATTAGAATTCCAAATAAAATAATCAGAATTTGGTTAAATTTACTCGAAATAACCAGAATTCTGGTTAATCTAATCAGAAAAATAATGTTAAATATCCTAACCAAAATTCTAGTTATTTCTACTAGAATTCTAGTAAATTTAACCAAAATTCTGCTTGATCTAATTAAATTCTAGTCGAAATAACCAGAATTCTGGTTAATCTTATAAGAAATCTAGTAAATTTAACCAGAATTATTATGTTAAATACCTTAATTAGAATTCCAAATAAAATAATCAGAATTCTGGTTAAATTTACTCGAAATAACCAGAATTCTGGTTACTCTAACCAAAAAAATAATGGTTAATATCCTAACCATAATTCTAGTTGAAATAAACATCATTCTAGTTATTTTTACCAGAATTCTAGTAAATTTAAGCAGAATTCTGCTTAATCTAAGCAAAATCATAAGGTTAAGTACCCTAACCAGAATTCTAGTTTTAAAAACCAGAATTATGGTTATTTCGACTAGAATTCTAGTAAATTTATCCAGAATTTTGTTTAATCTAACCAGAATTATAATACTAAATACCTTAATTAGAAATCTAGTTGGAATAACTAGAATTCTGGTCGAAATAGCTAGAATTCAAGTCAATATAATCAAAATCAGAATGTTAAATATATCCTAACCAGTTTCCAATTTGAATAACCAGAATTCTGGTTAAATTTACTAGAATTTTCGTTAATCTAACTAAAATTGTAATGTTAAATACACTCGAACCAGAATTCTAAACGTCAAAATTAGAATTTTGGTCATTTCAACAGAAATTTTTTTCAACAAATAAAAATTCAAAGACAGTTAAAAAAAAATTCGGTTAAATAGAAAATAGTGGAACTTTAAAACTTAATCGCACAAATAATGTGATCGTAAATGTCAAATAAATCATGTTTATCATTTGGAAACCTAATTTTTTTTCTCTCTTTCTAATGCAGAAAATAATTTATGGAAATACATTTGGATATAAACCTGTATTAATTACAGACTAATTTTTCTTTTCGTTCCTATTTTTTTTTCTCTATAAAGATTTATAATGAGAGAATTGTGCTAATGTAAATTAAGAACATTTGTCATGCGGATAAATTTTTTAACTCCTATTATCATCAAATATTAATTCACTAACCAAATGAATTAATGAAACGATTGAAATATAGTGTACAGTTTAAAAACAAATCTTTGGTACTGAAAGCATTAAAAATGCATCTCCCATTATTTAACAAAGCTAATCCATTTTATAAATACTATGACTAATTGTCTTTTAAAGGAATACTTTCTTTTTTTTTTTTTTTTACAAAAACCGGTTCTCAATCTTATTGTAAATAAAGAAATAAATATAGAAATATTCACGACAGGATACATATATGAGTTTTGTATTGTTGTCTATGTGTCCATGAAACTAGTTTTAGGGTGAAGTCTCCAGTAGCCATGCTGGATTCCAATGAATCCCTTTAAGAATAATGTAAAAAGAAATGCAGGGATTTTTGGCCTGTCGAGTTTAGACTGATGGCCCAATACCTATACCTAAACACAATTCAGGGATATGGGACCTTTGAAAAAATATTCCTTTTTTTCTTCAAACATCCGTGAACGTTTGTTGTGCCTTTTTTCAACCACAATTTACATTTTTTTTTCTTTTTTTGAAAAAGATATATTTTCAAAAAGAGAAACATTTTGTCTTTTAAAAAAGTATTGCTCAATATTTTATTATTATATATACACATAATTATATTCATTATAATGTATATCGTGATTATTATATGCTCAATTATATTGCTCAATGATTTTGGTCTCAATGTGTACGATTCGTGAAACAAATTAGAATTACTGGAAAAATGATTAGGAAAGAGACTGTTTTTGTGCATGAAAAGTGTGCCAGAATTTTAATTATATTTTAATATATGAAGTAATAAGAATAACAAAATGAGAGAAAAATTATTGTGAATCTACTTCTTTTTTTTCCTTCATTAATTAATTAACTAATGAATTATAAAACAGAGAATAAGTAATATTTGAACAAAAGATTTCTTAATATCATTTTGACTTTTGTATTTTACATATTAAAAATCATCAAGGTCTGTGTATATATCAGTGGCTTTGCGTGTTGAAATTAATGACATATTTTTGCTTATCTTTGAGTTGTTTTGAAATATTTTTCCAGCTATAAATAAAAAGCAGCTTTACAAGCTTTTGCGTCACTTGATTATGTTCTTTGTAATTAAAACAAAAAAAAGAAGGAATCAAACAGAACAAAATAGTATTCAATCACTTTGAGAATGTTTAACAAAATTCAAGAATATTAAAGAATTATTCATTTTTTTAAAACAAATGGTGAAGATATTTTTTTTTCTCATTTTAAAAGAAATTTTTGTTCATTTGACCTTTCAAAAATTCAAGGAGTACATGATTTAAAAAGAAATTAAAATTCATGCATTGGAATGTTTGTAGCTTTAAACTCTCATCAAGGTTCTAGTGTTTTAAAATATAGAGGATACAGAACAAGAAGAAGAAGAAGAAAAAAGACCCTGGATCCAATGATTACTTAGCTTCTGGATGACTAATGATTACAGCAAGGGCTGTTCATTGAACACGAAAAAGCATTTTAATTCTTAATGACATCTTTTTTCAATGCCATTTTGAAATTTTTTTTGGAATTTTTAAACCATGAATAGAATATTTAACTATTACTTGACATCATTATTTTGACTAATCTAATATTTCTTACAGTATTTATAAAGGCCTGCTTTTATTTATCTTATCAAATCATATTGTTATTACCTAATTTAATAATTGTAATAAATTTTTTATATGTATATATACATTGTGCTACATATTTTTCTCATATGTCTTTGTTATATTTTATTATTTCCCAACAGATGATAATTTCTTTGAAAAATTATTGTTAGAAAGTGAACAAATTTCAAATGAATAAACTAAACCCGACCTGAAACTCGATTCCTACTTTACGATAAAACTACATATATACTTATGCTCATATCTCGATGGTTTACGCTTTAGTCAGCTTATTAGTCAGAATTGTGCTACTTTTATGTGTATATATGTATACGAAGAAAACGAGGGAAATCGAGCAGCTTTCGACGGCATTGCCGACGGTTTCATGACACCAGGTGTAAACCAAAAGGTATGTCAGGTAAAATTCACCATCCTTTTGTAAAAATAAAGAACATTTTTCTTTCCAAAAGGGATTTTCTCCAAAAGGATTTCTATGGAAGAATTTATTCATCAATTTTTGAAACTATAGAGGTAAATACAAACCTTTATCAAAAATGTTCCTATGAGAAAAGTGTAACAAAAAAAATAGAAAGAAGGATATTTTCCAAACTCTGCTAATAGGATGTTGATTTAAGGATCATTGATCCGAAGGGATTTTTAAAAGAAGATCCGGATTTAAAGGATCAACTGCATTTTTTTTTTGTCCACCAGGATTCAGAAAGGAATTGAGAGATCGCGCAGTCGCGATAACCCAGATTTTCTCAAGGATCGAAGAAACCTTAAACCCACGATCTTGTTCTCTTTTTTATCAAATGGACCGTGTTCTAAATGAGGAAGAATCAAGCCTAAAGAATGGGAATATAGAAAGAGAGAGAGAGAGAGCCCTGGTTTGCGTCCATGGCCGCTTTTGAGCTGTACTCACCGCGCCAGCGCCATCCTGTCATGAGACAATCCGATAGAAGGCGTCGACAGAGTATCCAGATCTGAGTGTGGAGATTTATTACTGGTATATCCCACTGGACACATGCGCACAGATTTTTTCACGAATTTCTTTAGCTCATGACTCAACGAGCCTGTCATATAGTCACTTCACACATGACGTTTGAACTGTTTAGTCGATTATTTAAAAAACAAAAATAATAACTTCTTATTTTGCCTCGTTCACCACCACACTTTATGCTCCGAAATGTCAAAATTAATGAATGAGGACTGAAATATTGTGTGATCAATATTTATATTAAAAAAAAAAAAAGAATTAAGGGAATGAGAATCTAGCAGACGAAACGGAGAGCAGATGATGAAAGGCGCGACGAAGCACTTCGATGTGACACTGGCAGATGGTCAAAAATTAATTTTCCTCCTTTTTTTTGTGGAACGATACTGCAAACTTCTGTGGTTCAGTTTTGGTGATACACACCTCAGACTTGACCTGACCTGACCCGACCCGACGACTACAACGAACAGCGCCAACCTCAAACTCCGATTCGACTCCAACCTCCGGTGTTGGCTAGACTGAACTGATGTCCAACAACTGAAAGCTGAGGTCTCCCCCACTGCTGTAGTCAGCCATCCCCGTGGCCTCGTGTGTTTTCGCCGAGGTTCGATAAATTCCGTCCACCTTCGGAATATCAGAGTCCCCCACCTTTAAAAGTAAGCTAGGCTGTTGTGCTTGCTTGATGATGATGATGATGATGGTTTTGGTTTGGTGGTAGTGGTGGTGGCGGCGGCTCCGACCTCGTGTCTCGGCATCGCCACCAGGGCCGCGATTACATGCCTTCGCCAACACGAGAGACAGAGAGAAAAGGCCAGGGGGGCCTTCGCTTCTCCTTTCTTTTTCAAAGTCCCCCTTGCTTGCTTGCTTTGAAAACGACTCTGAAAAGAGAGTCTCTCTCTCTTTCTCTCTTCTTCTGCACGCAACCGCACAAAAATCCCCGGACGAGAAACCGAAAAAATCCTTGGCTTTATTGAAGCACACGAATTGAAGAATGGGAAACCTGCAAATGTAAAGGAAGTTGCTTTTACAGAAACCTGAAAATTGAGACAAAAAGAAAACCGTTTTCTTCTTTTAAATATCTATCTGATGAAAACGACAATAAACTGCTGATAATTTATAAAATGCAAAAGTCAGAATCAATTCACGATTAAAGAACAGCATGACAATTGACGCATGAGTTAAGGATTAGGAGCACGTTATTCACACCTATTGCTTCCATTAGAATTTCGAATCTAATAGCCTTTTGTATAAGGGAACAAAAATTTCTCCAAAACGTGCATTTCTTTCTGCAAATTTTTTGATGAAATAAAATTACTCACCCGATATCAACCACTACTAAATCAAATTATCATTGTTTGAAAAAAGGGATCGCTTTTAAAAAAGATGAGATCGATTCAACTTTGGTTACTGATTCGGATAATAATTTCAAATTAATTAAAGCCAATTGCAATCGTTTAGTAATTCACCGAGTTGCAAGAGAGAACAAAGCATTAAATGATCATAAAACGTGAATTATTATTTTTTTTTTGAAATTCACAATCGGCAAAATTTTGATAATGCCCGTGTAGAAATTTCCCTACCAGGGCCCTGGTAGTGAATAATAATCTGGTCCCGATCAGGGACTGTTCAGGGCCAGATTAGGGCCACGAGAAAAATGGGGATTTCCTAATCAGGGACACATCAAGCGTAGCGTCACATTCCCGCCCGATCCGGCCCCGATCCGAGCCATGGCAAAATTTCTACACGGGTGTTACGTTTACGATTAAACTGACCTCTCTCAAATCAAAATTAATTTTGATTTGAGAATTGTTGAATAAATCAATTGCAGCTAATTAGCATATCAATATTCGCCAGGGAGAGAGAGAGAGAGAGAGAGAGAGAGAGAGAGAGAGAGAGAGAGAGAGAGAGAGAGAGAGAGAGAGAGAGAGAGAGAGAGTATTAGATGATAAGACAGCAGGGAACAAAGACAAATTAATTGAATTTCCTATTTCGTATCTAGGATTAGGATCAGATTCTAATTATGTATAGCGCAGATTTACACCCACACATATATATATATATATATATATATATATATATATATATATATATTGGGGAATAAGACCTCCAACATATATTACTATTCAATCGAATATGTTCGAAAGTGGAATATTGTCATCTCCTGCCATGTGAATCATATGTCAGGGACAAAATATTGTTCAATTCTATATTGGAAATTAATTAACAACCTCCTATACTTTTCAATTATAATTTTGCGAAAAGAAAAAAAAATCAAAATGTTTCATTTGAACTAAAAAATCCTATTTTACAGTTAGGGAGAAAATTATCTACGAGAATAAGTAATTACAACAGCCACTTATAATTTACAATTTGTAAATTAATTTCCTTACTTAATTTGTGATTTACCTGATAAATTAGCTAATATTAAAGATTATTATTATTATACTATAATTTCGCACATCAGATGCAAGTTTTTCCTTTTAATTTCTCATTATGAAACTAGTTTCATTATTTGGAAATAAGAGATTTCTTCTTTGTCAGAAAACATGTATGAAAGGAATGTTTTTACAAATACTTTGATAGAGTTTATATGTCTCCCACGAATGTATTAAACTGGTTTTCTATTCATCTTTTTAGAAGCATTGCAATTGGAGGGATCACTCCAGGCAAAACTATATATATACAAGTGCCGAGTATAGAAACTTTCGCCCATTTTCCATCTCGAGTTTATTTTTTGCACTCTCGTGTGTCAGAGCAGTGAACAGCGCAAAGGTACTCGATACAGGTCACTTAACTTTCACGAGAACTGCATTGGCACGAGCCAGGTGCCTTAAATGAATAAACATATATATGTATATGCATATATATATATAGTTGAGATTACATCAGAGACAATTGTCCTAAAGAGTTCTCTGTTTCATTAAATTAACCACTCTCTAACCACATTAAAACTTTCCTTCCGATATAACACACATATATAACTTTTCAGATTATCCGCATATACCCATCCATATACCCATTAATTTTTTTTATCTTTTAAATTTTGATTAAAGAGATATAAAATCAAAAACTATTCACTGTTTTCTTGAAGTATACAAGAATTGAATAAAAACCTATATTTGGATCAACCAATATTTGTGTTTTGATCCAAATATTGGTAACAAATTTCTCCGATTCGGTACTAAATAGATTTTGATTTTATTTGAAGAGTTGTTTAGCCCTATAGAAACTATTCAACAGAGAAGAAAAAGAATTAACAATTGAATTATAGTTGTAACAAATATTTTGTTCGAAATTTCGAATTTATTAACAAATTTGTGATAACAATAACTCGAAAAATAGTTTTCGGAATGTAAAAGATAAGAAATTTTCTGGACTAATATTTCTCTTGGATAATTCTAGTGTTCGATTCACGAATCTAGCTCACTTTCGTATCTGTAGTATATTTACGAGTTTCTATGGAATATGTAGACTAGTGGTACATATATATATATATATATATAAGGGAAATACAGCGGGAGAGTATTTTGCGGCTCAACTCTTTAAGTGGAGGATATATTCAAGGAATTGGCCGCGTCTAGCTCGAGACTGTCAAGATAGTAGGCGTACCACATTATATGCAGCCACAATTGCTTTCTAAAGTCTATTTTGCGTGGTTGCACGACTCCATTGAATATATCATTTATTATCCCGAAAAAAAAGGGATGGTGAAATGTGTCAACGTAACAGCCTTAATCGTTTCCTTTAAATAGAAATTGATAATTTTTTATACGAAATAGAATATCCACGTAAAAATATGGTCTAATATTTTATAAACTATTTGGTATCAAATTGCAACGAATTGATACCAATATTTGGATCATAAAGTTTCATCAAAATATTGGTATATTTGATCCAATTGGCTATCAAAAAAACAATGTATACAAATAGCTGCGAAAAAATATTACTTCAAATAGGATCTTTATGCTGAGTTTCTATATTCAATATCAACGGGAGTTAATGTATATACAGAATCATAATTTTGCGTAATAATTCACTAAATTTTGAATAAGTCACATTAATATTGAAACCACTTTAACTGTATATATTCAAAATTATTCTGAAATTGCTTTACGAGATATAAATTAGTTATGATGTTCACGTTAATTGTGTTGTTGATGAATGTGGATCATCAGAAGCTGGAATTTCTAGTTTAGAAACAATGTTCCGTTTAGTAGGCTATATATGAAAATTTGTCTATATTTTTATGGCTTTCAATCTATGAGTAAATGAAATTTTACTGATTCAGATAAAGACTGGTCTAAAAAAAAATAATATGTAATACAATAGAAATGTGCATGAAATGTGTATCTCTTATACAATTTCTTTGCTGAGATTATTTATCGCTTATTATACAGTAACATTAGATATGTATATATATATTAACAATGTTACTTTTACATTTTTTACAAAAACATTCTCAGTATTTGATGCAGCATATAGTTTCGAATAACCGCTATCAAAACAGATTTTGAAATCTATCAACAAGGAGATCAGTTTACCTAACGACATTTCAGTTAATTTATATGCTTTCTCTCATGTCGTTCTCGGTAATATTTGATTTGATATTAACACACAGAAGGTGTTACTATTTCTATATCAAAGTCATTTATACCAAATACAATCATTAATACATTGTCGTTGTTTGTATATCATACAACTTCAATTTACTTCTCGATACAAAATGCGCGAAATTGCTCGCACGCAAATGGGAAATGCTCACGTACAAAGGTATAACAAATATATATGTATATATATATTGGGGCAACAAGGGGTTGCCAAGTTTCGGGTGTTTGTTCCACTTGGTGCGCTAAATTGTACCGAGAGTTGCGTTTGCATGTATTCAACAATTGTACTGGTATTGGTTGTAGTTAATAGAGAAGAAGCATGAGAGGAGAGGGAGAGAGAGAGGTTATACGTGGAGGAGAGAGATTGTGTTAGGACGAGCGACGCAGAGTGGAATGGAGAGTTCAGGCGAGGTCAGGTCACGGGACGAGAGAGTTCTGGTCGGTCGATAGAACAAAGCAATGTGCGACCAGAAACGTTGGACAAAATCCCACACATATATATATATATATATACAATATACAGAGACAGGACCAACTTCCTCTTCTTCACACTTAATTGCTACAAATCTCGTTAGCCTTCTTGAAAAGCGCGACCCTAATAAAAACCATCCAACCGTTTTTGTCAGCATTTCAAAAACAATTGACTATAAATTTTACATCCAAATTAACAGCTAGCAAATAAAATTTTTGTCATTTTAACGGATAACAGATTCATTTTAATTTTTATGATTCTCTTTTTTTTTAAATATAAAATCTATTTTAGCTTATTGAATGTCTATAATAAAAATGTCAAGTATGAAAAAAATGTGAATATAGTGCCAATATTGATTATCCCCTCAACTTGCTCTGATAAGAATATTTGAGTCTAACATGATGCCAGCTGATCCAACAGATATACACCTATGAACGATTATTGATTAAAGAGATAAAAAGCGGAAGGTTATAC